GAATATTTTAGATTACATCAGATACATTGGATAGTTTTTTTGTGTTGATAATCTATGTTAAGATGACCAATGATTTGTTGATATTTGTTGGGGTCTTTTTGGAGCCTGCTAGAGGAACTTTTGGCCTTCAGTTAGGGGAATGTGAACCAGAGACAACAGAGCGCGAGAGCAGGTTGAGTGAAAAGGATTGATGCGTCATGGCGTGAGCTTGCTTTGTCTATCTTTGTCTTACGTTTCCTTTGCTGTTTCTTTCTTTGTCTTATGATGTCTTATGTGATCTTGTTATATCTTGTGATGATATGTTATGTGATGTTTATAAGGAAGATATGGACAGGAAACCAAGGACCAGCAGGGTCATTTTATACAAATTGCTGTTTTGAGGGCCTATGTCTGGCCTAGTCATTTCATAGAGAAAATCTATGAAATATGGCAGCCAGTGGGTTGGGTCCACCATTTCATGTCTATAGAATGGAACCGCAGGACCCCCCCAGTGATTCTGGCAGGGGGATTCAAAAATCGTCTGGATGTTGCGTTTCCATTGGGGTTAGATGCAAGATGGCAATATAACTGGAAGAGCATTAGGTCAACAACATTGTTTGGATGCTGCATTTGCATTGGGGTTAGATGCAAGATGTCACCCTCATTGGAAGATAAGCGTTGGAGCGTCAGTTCAACACCATTGTTTGGGTACATGGGGCGTGAGTACATGGGGCGTGGGTACATGGGTGCATGGGACTCGCGCGGCACTCGCGACAGGGTCGAAAAGACTCGCGTGGCACTCGTGCCAGCCGCTGCCAGCCTCACCATGTTTCCTTTAGTGATCTTTTCCACATGAAGGTCATCAATGCACAGCTCTTGAAGAGCAAAGCAAGCAGGGCAGCATGCTGCATCTATGTTTAGGGGGTAATCTTCACGATAGTGCTAACCTTGCGTTCTGATTGGGGTTCGGTCACCAAAACGCTGCAAACTTCGACACAAACTAGTTCTTTCCTGCACAGGGGCAGTGAATTCTTGATGTATAGCAGTTTTGACGAACATACTTCCGTAGAGCGTTTACATTGTGTTTTAACATAAAACGGGTGACTTTTCGCGAGCCGGGTGACTTTTGACCAATGCTGCGTTTCCATGCGGCCGGGTGACTTTCTGCAAACCCGGGTGACTAAACCCCAGCGCTAGTATACAAGCGACAGGTTGAAGTCAAGAGCATGTGTGCAAAAGAAGAACTCCGGAAAATTGAAGGAGTTGAACTTGCCAATTCACGTTGGTGACATGGCAAAAAGAGATGAACTCGATCGAAGATTGACAAACAATTTTTTAAATTCATCATGATTGAGACTGTTGACCGTTCACCGAAAGAGGAGTAACAATAGTGGAATTTTACCAGGCAAATCTGGGCACAAAAGGATCGTAGTCTGCTTGGCATTTTTGTAAGTTCAAGTGTTCGAGGAAGGTTTTTGGACTTTGGACGTTTTTTGTTTTTTGCACTTTTCAGCAATTTTTCCGCTGCGCCTCAACTCTCAGGCTTTGTAAGAAATAGACCAACCAGAACCATCACGAGTAAATAGTGTGACAGTTTTCATCGAACACCAGTATAGCCGGCTTCATTACATGTATCTGAAGTCCTGTGTTGACTTTTGAAGTTGATGAACTTTTGAACAGAACTGGGTACAGCCAGCCCATGGCGCCTACAGCTCAGTTTTGATGTGTGCAGATCCATAACCCTTCCGATTGAAGTCGCTTTGGCAGTTTCATGATGAGGAACATTTATTGCAGTTTGTGTGATTGTTGAAGTAGTCTCCACGCTTCCGCTTTCGAAGTTCGCGGTTCCCAACCTGTGTTCAAGTTAAGTTCCACGCAAAAGAATAGGAACCAAATTAATCATGCGAATCCTGAATTCTTCTATGTCCGAACCTAGTTGTTTCCGATCGCTTCTAGCTACTTAGCTACTTCCTGTTGGTCGGCCTACCCCAGTAGTAGATCAAGTTTTCCTAAAAATCTAGGAACCAGATCATTAGCGTGAAATCCTGCATCTTAGCTAGGAGCTTCCTATTGCATACTAGTAGCTTACCTTCTTACTGAATTAAGTAGGCGCCTACTGAATTAAGAAGTGGCCACGGGCTAAAAAGACACCTACTAGCGATGGCCTCCAGCCCAATAGCGATGGCCTCCAATCTACTAACAATGGCCTCCAACCTAAGAGCAACGGCCTCCAGCCCAATAGCGATGGCCTCCAATCTACTAACAATGGCCTTCAGCCTAAGAGCAATGGCCTCCACCCTAGTAGCGATGGCCTCCAGCCTAATAGCAGTGGCCTCCAGCCTAAGAGCAATGGCCTCCAGCCTAATAACAGTGGCCTCCAACCCAATAGCGGTTGCTTTCAACACTGGATATATAAAACATCCAGTCTTCGACTCAAAGCTTCCAGTCTTCGAGGCTCACAACTTCCAGTTCAGGTGGGGGAGGCGTGATTCTGTACACCTCCATGGGGGAAATTGAGGCTGGACCGGCCCTGCTGTTGCATGCTGAAAAGCAGTGAATGTTGATTCAACTGCAGGTGTTCCCAATGAAAAGGCTTCTGTTCTTGATTGTACTGAAAGGTGGAACTCTACTGGAATCATGCGCCCAAGACCTGTCGCACAGCAAGCATTCAACAGTACACGCGAGACTTTGTGGAGTTAGTAAGTAGAGCTTGTTACTAGTAGCTTCTTGTTACTACTAGTAAGGCACCTGTTACTACTAGCGTGGCACTTGTTCCTAATAGCTTCTTGTTACTACTAGTAAGGCACCTGTTACTACTAGCGTGGCACCTGTTCCTAATAGCTTCTTGTTACTACTAGTAAGGCACCTGTTACTACTAGCGTGGCACCTGTTACTTCTTTTGGAACCAAGGCATGAACTTCTTGGAACTCGCAAAAAGAAGCTACTATGCTTCTGCCTCAGAGCAAAATAATGTCTAATGAAACCTCAGAGACACAGACAGCACAATGTCAGGCAATATGTAGCATGTCCAGTGTGATGGTAAGTTTCAAAAGCTTTCTTGGCAGGATAACACGTTGTTCCACCGCATTGTGAGCAACTTTGTCATTCAGGTGCTGTATTTTTCACTTTGTTAGGGCATCGCTACTAGTAACAAGGGCATCGCTACTAGGAGCAAGGACGCTACTAGTAGCTCCTGGCCATACTACTAGGAACAAGAAGCTTTGCCTTTTTGCTTGACCAGGGTGGTGACCCAACGGGCACTGGCAGAGGGGGTGAATCGATATATGGCCAAACCTTCGAGGATGAGATTCATCCAGGCGAGGGTCAGCTGGCCGGCAACTACTAGCTTCTTGTTACTACTAGTAAGGCACTTGTTGCTAGTAGCGATGCACTTGTTACTAGTAGCTTCTTGTTTCTAATTTGCAAAGCAATCAACCTGAATTAGGAGGCCATTGCTCTTAGGTTGGAGTCCATCGCTGGTTGAAGACCATCGCTATTAGATTGGCGGCCATCGCTATTTGGTTTCAGCTCAAGGGCAGAAGTATGTGTAGTTCAAGAAAAGGTGGAAAAGATTTACCAATGATTCTGGGGGTCGTAGGGGCATACTGCCTTACCTTGGAGGCATGCATGCAAGTTACATCATTTTTGCTTTGACATCTAGTTGCTGCTGGACAAAACATGTTGAAAACGTTTGTGGAGCATATCTCAGCGCTGAAACTATGTGTTTGTGACCAGCTGCTTCAGTATTGCTCTCCTTGTTGGTGGTCCTGACCTTACCATAGTTATCGAAATCCTAGATATATTTTGTGATCCTGATAGCTATTGTTCTTGTTGCTGTTCCTGATGGAGCCCCTGCTGCGTTGAGGTTGTTGGGAAGTTGCAACGCTAAGATTGTAGGAAACCTGTACATGTGGGACTGTGGAATAGAATGTTGATTCAGTCAACGCAATGTCGTCAGAATCTCTTTCAGTAGAGGCTTGAAGCATGTCGGAGCTGGCATCCTGTCTATGGCGTTCAGACCACAGATGGGTAGCCATTTTGCGTGTTGTGATCCGATGTTTCAGTTATTTCCCCTTTTGAGGAACTCTGGGCCAGACAGCAACGGCGGGGTTCTTAAAGTTGAGAGAGTACCCGGACAAAGTGTGTGTTCCCTCGCTGCAGGTTCTCAGTTCTTTATCACTTTAGGGTGTGGACCACAGTTTTCGATTGTTTCCGACAAACACGAGCAAACTTGGTTCTTTCTTGAGCAAACCTAATTTGCATTCTTGTGCACTTGCCATTGCCTTGTCGCTGAAAATTGCGGAGGCCACAGCCTTCCCTTGATGGAAAGCATGCCATTTTTGGTCGAGTCTGTCGAGGAATGAAGGCACGTTGTGAAATCGGTCTTGAATCTTGCTTAATTAGAATGCTGATTGTTGCAAACATTGTGAGAGTTAATTTTTGCTCATTGTTTCAGGTGGTTCAAAAGCTGGGTTCTGTAGCAACTAATGCGCAGGACGCTGCCAAGTTAGATCAACTTTTGTTGGATTCACAGCGCTTTGATCAGGACAAACCAATTCAAGAGGCTCAATCGTTTGTTCTTGTTTGTCGAAGAAGTCTTTTGAGAAACTCTGTTAGAGCCTTTTAAACCAAACCTTTGATACTTCTCTTATGTGCAGGTCAAGATCCTTCGTGCATCCACAGCTTTGGCCGCTGATGCCCACCTAGGATTATGAGAATCAAAACGAGCGGGACGCAAAAACGAGAGCAAAAGTGAGCGCAAGAGAGCAAAAGTGTCCTGGGTGAACTGTCCGGATGCATTGTGGACACACGGTGGACACATCCGGTGCATGTCTCGATTGCGCAGCGCTGCAACGAGGAGGTTCTGAACATTTGCCTAGAATATATGTAGTACAGCTACTGTCTCAATGTGCTACTCCTGAAGCAATTCATCTCAAAGGGACTTGAAACAGGTAGAACTAGTAGCTTCTTGCTACTAGTAGCGATGCACTTGTTACTAGTAGTAAGGCACCTTGTTACTACTAGAAGGCCAGTCTTCTTGACACTTTCCCAATTTCCTGCCATGCCGGGCACGCGTGATGTTGAGCCCGACACTCACACGTGAGTGGCTGACATCAAGTAGAGTTGTTTCGTGAACTTGAGTAGTCAATTTAAACATTGAACAAGGAACAAGGACGCTACTAGGGGCTCCTGGCCTTACTACTAGGAACAAGGGCCTCACTACTAGGAGCAAGAAGCTATTAGAAGCAATAATTAGAATAGAATCACAAGTAATTAGAATAGAAATTATAACTAAAAGTAATTAGTCAAGTAGTCCTCATTGTTTTCTTCAAAATCTCTGCAAGGTTGCCCAAAGAATGGTTTGAGGAGGTGGGAGAAGTGAGGGAATGTGCGTGTGGCAATGCTTGTGGCAACACGCAATGCGTGGTGATCTTTTTCCTGAGGTTTTTGGTGTACCTGAGGGTAAATACAGGGAGATGCGAGATGACTTTGAAGCAGCGGCAGGTGCTGGAAAGAATTGATGAGATTGAAGGATAGGATTGAAGGGTTAGATAGTCTGCTTGTTGAGTACGGTCTTTCCAGACTTGGATTGAAGCCCAAACTCTGCAGGGTTGCTCATTTGCAAAAGTACGGGAAAGATGTTCCAGGTGCGCAAAGACCGATTTCTGGTGCGATGTTCCATTTTTTTGTTAATTGATTGACTGCATGACGTGGCAAATTGCACTCCACAAAGTCCTTCGGAGCCAACCAAAAGGCTGGGACTTTGCGGACTCCAACCTTGGCCGAGTTGAGAAGCCAGCTAGATACAGCCAGACAGGACGCCAGTTGAGAAGGCTATTAGAGGCCATCGCATGACGCACGATGAAACTTTACATTTGATGATAGCAGGAAGGTGATGGTGGCTATTACAATGCTGGCGCCAGAGCCCCGCCATCATCTTGCGCCACAACTATCAGAATGTGTTTTCTGGCAGTGTTCATTTCAGAATGTGTCTGACCTTTTCCAATGCCGTGTTTGTCTGTTAGTGTTGCTATGTTTGAGGAATTTCCGAGGTCTTGAGATTTACGAATTTGACGAGCGATTCATTGAGCCTTTACCAAGACTCACGCAACGCTGGGGCTGTTTTCCAGGCCGAAACCTGAAAGGGCACAAGCAAAGCCTATTCGCACGGCGCTACGCAGGTTTGCTCCTTGTTCAACTGCTTGGAGACTGTGGATGGTTACCACCCAGAGGCGGGTCTTGTTGGAGCAAATTAGGCAGACGTGCAATTGCAAAGCAATTGCAAGCTGCCATGAAGAGCTCAAGAAACAACGATTCCATTGCCAGGATGGCATCACCCATTATTGCTCCAAGGACTCTGACGTGTGATCATTGAAAAGCATACATGATTGTAGCTGCTTGAGAGTGTTTTTGTAGCATTAGCATTCCTATGCTTCTTAACCTGCAGCTCATCATGATTGTGATGAGGCTACGCAAGGAGCTGTCTCATCAATTGCGTGTCCTGCAGCAGCATTCTTCAGGTGCCCTGCTTTGGCTTTACTGTGCTGTTTGTGATCGTAGTGTGAGATTTGATTGAGGTGTACCGCTCTGGACATGTGTTCTACCCCTGTGTTCTAGCAGTGACTTTCACATTGATGGCCTTTTGTTGTGTATTTGGCTAGCAGCTTCTTCGACGTTCTGCATCTGGTATTCCCAATTCTGCATTCCCGTTCCAGCTTTCCGGTTTGGCAACTCTACCTATGTTTGCCACTTGAGCTCTTTTTTCATTCTCTTAGTCTCCATGTGTGGAGTGCAGTCTGGTTGGCTTGTTTTTTGAACTCCTTCCTATGCTGTTTTGGTCCACTGCAGCAAGCTCTTTGTGTTTGCTTCAAGTCATGTATTTCAGTTATATAGTGGCCTTTTTCTTTTTTTTGGGCTTGAAGCATGTATGCATTATGTGTGGATGTATTGTACTTTGTGCATTCCTGATTGTGCTTTGGCCGTTGGGCATTGTGGACTCCAGGAATTACTTTGTCCACACCACTGGTCAGGGTGTTGGAAGCCCGGCTTTTGACACTCAAAGCCACCCAGTTCCAGTTGACTGGTCCCAGGCTGGTGGCAGACCAGTTGACTTGTTGGAGGAGCTGGCAAACGTTGTGCAGAACCACAAGAACGGCCACTTGTTGGAGAATCGAACATGCCAAAAATTAGCAAAGCTTAAAGGCAAGTTGTGCAGAAAGCCAAGTTTGTTCTGGCCGAGAACAAGCTACTAGGTGGAGGACATCGCTGTTAGATAAACACGAAAGAAGAGGCTGTCTTACGGATCGTGTTTAGCGTGCTCTGCTGCTGCGCCGTGGGTGCAAGAGGAACAATTTATTGTGCCCAGGTGCATGCTGGGCGTCTTAAGAGAAAGGGCACCATGGGGGATGGAGTTTTGAAAGATGTGATTTTATGTTGAGAGATGTAGCTGTGACAGTTTGCTTTACAATGCTTTTAGATTTTAAGTCAAGTGAAGAAGGATATGAATTTGAGTTTTGTGAGGCGTAATTAATGTATGGAGATGTGGACAAGTTTGTGTTTTCATTATTTTGTAAGTTTGAAGACCAGTGGAGAAGGATATGATTTTGTGACTTTGTAAAGTATGGACCTGTGAAAAGTTTGCTTTTGCCAAATAGCTTGCCTATCCATACCTATTAGCCTATTGTTAGTAGTAAAAGAAACTCACTGCATTTCCTTACGGCTGCTACTTCAATGACCAGGAAACAAAACATTAATAGTAGCAAGGACGCTACTAGTAGATCCTGGCCTTACTACTAGTAACAAGAAGCTACTAGTAGCTCCTGGCCTTTACTACTAGTAACAAGAAGCTACTAGGGGCTCCTGGCCTCACTACTAGTAGCAAGGACGCTACTAGTAGCTCCTGGCCGTACTACTAGTAGCAAGAAGTTACTAGGAGCAAGGGCATCGTTACTAGTAACAAGGGCATCGCTATTATGTTCATTGATGTTAAACCGATTTTAACAGGGACTTGGATGGCTAACTGATTGCAAAACCATTCCTGGTTCTTTTTAGACTGGTTGACACAAAGGAACACTAAGTTCAATAAACAACTTGTTTCATTTAAACACAATTTCATTTGGAGAAAACATTGAACATTGAAGACCATTGAACATCAATAGTTTCACCTATTGAGTGCAATATAATTTCAAGACTTGTTAATTGGAATCACAGTAAACACCATATGCTAATTGATGTTTTGCAATGTTTCTGTAAGGGTTTTCATAACCATCAATATTTCAGTGATATTAAAACGGTTATCAAAGGAACTTGAATTGGCACATGTTCTATAGATGTGGACTAGGAACAAGAACCTACTAGGAGCAAAGGGCATCGCTACTAGTTAATGTATTTTTTGCAATTTTTGGAGTGATATTCAGGCTGTTGATTAGCTGATTACATTGAAAGCCGTTTTTTACCATGTACCACTCCATCCCCCATCGTGCCCCCTTCTGCCTTTAAATACTTGATTGAGCACAGCATGTCTTGGGTGAGTTCAGCCAACGCTGGCTTTTTTACTGCACCTCCATCGTGCCAGTGTCCTGGTCGAACTTCTCAGAACTAGAACTACGTTTCTTTTTTATCGAATTTGACTTGTTGCGAGCAACTCTTGGCTTGAATTATGCCGGCGCTTTGCATGAGTTGTGTAGTGGGTTTAATCGACTTCCCAGATCAAGAATCGCAATGCACAACATGTTGCTATTTGATGCGTCATTGTTAGCAGCTCTGGTTCAGCCAAGTGAAGGCCACATCGAAGATGTCTTGGTGAAAAGAGCTTGGTTTTGTTTCAGGTTTGTAAAAAACGTGGGTTGAGCATCTGGGCCTTTTTAGGAGCTCATAAGATTTCAAGTCAGAAAATGCAGAACCAAAACGTATCTCTTTAACCGTGATTTGAGTCTAAAGGTTTGTCACAATGCTTGATTGCTTGATGTGCCTATCAATTCTTTGTTGTGTCACATCTGTCCTTCATACCCAGTTATTGTAAGGGCTACTGCTACGTGCAGCACGATCACCAACTCCACCCATGGCACGCCCCGAGTGCCCTCAAAAACACTTTTGTTAGGTACACACGTGCCAGCGCGGTGCAGGCCCAATAATGGCGATGGCCTCCAACCTACTAGCGATGGCCTCCTTCTTGTCAACCAAACGTTGCAAAACAAAAGAACCTTTTTGTGTGCTTTTTGACGCTTCGATGGCATAGGTGGCCAATGCATTGCTGGAGGTAGTACTTTGACTCGGCCTACTCCTGCCTAGTCTGGACCGACTGCACCGCTCTGTTCCATCGGCGTCAAACGCAGAAAGACGTTCCATTGCTTTCAGCTCCAGCGGTGCAAAGGGCATCGCTACGAATGGAGCGATCGGACGCTACTAGGGGCTCCTGGCCGTACTACTAGGAGCATCCTTACTACTAGTAACAAGAAGCTACTAGGGGCTCCTGGCATCGCTACTAGGAGCAAGGACACTACTAGGGGCGCTCCCTGGCCTTACTAGTAGTAACATGAAGCTACTAGTAGCTAGCTGCTGCTAGTAGCGATGGCCTCCACATACTAGCGTCCCTGCTCCTGATTAATATCTGCGTTGAGCTAAGCTGGGTAAGCTTTCACGGCCATAGTGAGTGTTCCACATCCCACTCTCGTTTTTCTTGTCTCCCCTCGTGTCTGCCTGTGCGATCGGCGTTTTGTCTACGCTACTGCTGTGGACTTTGTCTCAGTCGCTTCTGCTTTTGGAGTTCGTTGCTGTTTGGGGCCAATGCTGGTGTAATGTCATCGTATTGCCTCCAACCTAATAGCGATGGCCTCCAACCTAGTGTCATCGTATTACTGTTGGATACACATTTTTGAAGAGACCGCAATCTTGTGTTGGGCTTGTAGTTCCCTGACAGTATTGTGCTCACGCACCCCACACGCTCAGAGCTTTCATTCCCCAAGCAGCTTGGCCGTGAGGGGTTCTCAATTCTTGCACAGAAACGATCCTGGGCCAAAATGATTTCTGACCATTTTCTCTTTGTCCCCTTTGGCTCTTATGGATGCTGGGCTGAGATGCTGCTTTGCCTCTTGTTCTTCTTCTTCTTCTTCTTGGATGTTGAAACCGAATCTTAAAAACGACCTGCTTGTCTCCTTTCTCGTTTTCTTCACCAGCAACCTGTTGGGGGATGATTTCTTGTCTCCCCAGTAGGAACTTGTCGCGACACCACTTCCCATCTGGTCTGGTGGCATATGGATTTCAGCTTATTGTTTCTACTAGCTTCTTGTTACTACTAGTAAGGCACTTGTTACTAGAAGCGATGCACTGATTCCAGCTCTTCTTCTCAGTGAAGCCATCAGAGGATCATGAGGTCGCATGCGTTTGGCTCGGTGAACCTTCGCTTGGCATGTGGTTTTGACGTTCGGCGCTCGAAACTCCAAATGACTAGTAGCGAACCTTGTTACTACTAGTAACAAGTGCCTCGCTAGTAGTAACAAGTGCCTTACTAGCAGTAACAAGAAGCCATTAGAATTAAACTTAATTCTAATAGCTTTTTGTTACTACTAGTAAGGCACTTGTTACTAGTAACGATGCACTTGTTCCTAGTAGTTTCTTGTTACTTGAATGCTTATGGTTTTGACCAAATTTTGACAATTTAAAAGCAACGTCGTGTTTCTGAAAGAGTAAGCGTGCATGAGTCTTCAGTCGATATGCGCAGAGGTATTTATGCTTGAAATACATGGACAGAGCTTGGACTGGCAACGCGCAACGGCATGCTTTGAAAGGGCAGGTTTTTGCCCTTGGAGAGACCAGTGTGCTTCTGAAATACTTGGATGTACTTCCGAACACATCAATCTGCTTGCTTTTGCCACGGCTGTTGAGTGGACAATTGAACAAATGCCGTTTTGGGTCGATGGTGTAAATTGTATCGTATCACTTAATTCTACTAGTAACAAGTGCATCGCTTCTAGTAACAAGTGCCTTACTAGTAGTAACAAGAAGCTATTAGAAGGAATTACACTTAATTCTTTTTGCTTATTGTTACTACTAGTAAGGCCCTTGTTACTAGTAGCGATGCACTTGTTCCTAGTAGAATTAGGTGTAATTAAAAGCAAAGGACGCTACTGAAACAAATGCCGTTTTGGGTCGATGGTGTAAATTGCGTATCATGTCTAAGTTCATGTCTAATATCAGTCGCCATGAAACACAAGGTTTGTGTGCAGTCAATCCATGTCTTTTGGACGAAATTGCGTCAGATCTTTTGTCAATGTTTTAGGATGCCATGCTAATCGTGTGCATGTTTACTTCTGTCCCATGCATTTTCCCCATGTTCTGTATGTTGTTGCGCACCTTGTTTTTGTTGGGCGCAGTCCTTGAGGCTATTGGACTATGAAGACGCAAACTTAAGCAATCTCTGATGTCGCTCCCACTGGAAGTGTGAAGTCTCAGATCTACATGCCCACTTTCTGAGGCATGGGCAGTGTCTACCAAAGGTTGATGGGAGTATCGCGCGGCTTTTGACTGAGCGAATGCGAGCAGAGTTGTAGTTTCTGATGTTAGAAATGAAATTCATAGGTACTGTAGGCAGGAAAGCAGGGTTGCTTGATCCTTAATGAAAGCAAAACATTCAACAATCGACAATCCATTATACGCAAGGATTGTTTTGTGGTGGCAGCGTGAAAAAGTCAGGTTGAGCCACTCCTTGGCTACCAACCACGACTTAGAAGCCGAAGCGCGGCAAGCTGTCCAGGCACACAAGATTTGGCAAGTGGCAAAAGGTGACATGCATATGATGGTATTCTTTGAGGAACGCGATGGCCTCCAACCTAGAAGCAATGGGCTCCAACCTAGAAGCGATGGCCTCCAACTTAATAGAGATGGCCTCCCAACCTACTAGT